TAAAATTTGAATGATTTTTATTAGAAGCAATTATTAATTTTTATATTGGTGTATCAATCTTCTTGCAATGACCCATATATACTTATATTTAAAATTGAAAAATTAATGTTTATGTTATTTTGGCGTCTAAAGATCATACGAAATCAAATGTTTCCTTTCGATATGTTTATTCATCGGAATCAATCCACCGTTTATATCTAAATGAGCAATTTCCAGGTACAACTCTTTTAATAATTCAACAGAACATTATTTCACCATCAGATAGCCCTTGGTCAGCACTTGTAATAGTAGTTAAAAAGAAAAATGGCAAATATAGATTCTGTGTAGATTATTGACAAATTTTTCTATATATAAATTAGAGTATTGGAAGCATCTCGGGAACCGTTATACATGTATCCATTATTATATTTAAAGCAATTTGAATATTCTTTACACATGTACATATTTTGTTTCATCTCAGTTTTTTAGTTTCTGAAATTGTCATTATGGGATGTCTGTCGCACGGAATTAACACAATTAAGTCTCAATTAATGACAACAAAATAAAAGCTTTATTGACTGTCAACATTGTTTAATCAAGTACTGAATCTAGATTAAATTTTTAATTTTAATTTGCTGTATAATGTTAACGATGACGTTAAAATATCGTCAAAGAAATACAATTTTTACCAAAAGCAAATAGTAATACATATAGAAGCAATAAAAATACGAGAATACGATCTATTATATATAATACTATTATACGTAATTCAGAAGTTAGGTTGACTAAAGAATTGTAAATGCGACAAGGGTTGAGAGCTAGATGGAAATGATTTCATGTGAAGTGGAGTCCACTAAGTTGTTGAAGGTATCCTGTGCTAACCTTCCGCGGAGATTATACAACGAGCAAAGATAAAGTTTTAATAAAAATTCAATACAATTAACAAAAATATAAATTCATTCCTAAACAAGCATAGAATTCATAACAAAATAATAAAGTCAATATCAAAATAACAAAGCAATACAATATCAAATAAATACAAAATAATAAAAAGAATATAAAGTCGAATGCTTTAATGCGTTTATGCAAGGTTGATGCATCGCTTTACATTATTTTGATTTTGATTTTATTATTTTGATTAAGCAAAAAAAAATAACGATAAGGTGATCAATTTCGTTTTGGTACAAAAGTAATAAAAGCTGAAGCGTAATTTTATTTAGTTATTTTCTTTAAGCCGCAAATTGCCTGTCTCTCTGACCTTCGAGAGATATCATATACTGTATATACAGTTTTCGTTATTACATAACTATCTAAGTTACAATTCGTTGATTATAGGTTTTCTGGGTCCCTAACACAAAATAATGATTTTCACAGGAGAAAAGAATATTTATTTTATAAAATAGTAATGCAATGAAATTTAATTTAATAATTATATGTAAAAGAAATAAATGAAGAACTTAACTATTATCACTTTACTTTACAAGTATAAAATGGGAAGCGACGTTAATGTTGTTGATGCTACAAGATAGGAATTTTTGTAGGAATTTCTAGGTCTGGGTTGTAAGTATTGCGGAAGGACAATATTAATAATTAATTTTAAGTTTTTGTTACACATTATTACAAGTATATGTAATAAAATACAAAATTAAGAGACTTTGTAATCACGAGACTTTTTGTTGCAATACTTTTGTGGGATCGTGCGCAAAGATACGATATTGGATTGGAAGAGACTAAACAATTATACTAACTAGAGATAAAAGGTTATTAGACTGTAACGACATATTAACAACGGTTCTAAAGTCTGTGCGAATATCTAGGGATATTGTCTGCAAAGTTAACATAATTATAAAATACATGTAATCTCAAAATAAGAAAAGAATAGTCGTTTTTCACAATAATTCCATTGAAAGCAAATTCTAGAATATAACAAAGTTAGTTCAAGATAATAACTTAATATTCAAAGGATAAAAAACCCAAAGTCATAACAAGACTATATCTAACAAAATCAATGTCAAAGGAATAAAACCACTATATTTGATGATCAAAGGAATAAAGATAATTCAATTTAAATTATACGTTCCTAGCATACTTCATTAGGGAACAAAGTATTTATATACATTTTGATTTTACTAATTAACTATCCAATTACTACGCTAAAGTATCTTGTTAGATTTCACATGAAACACAATCGCTGATTGTAATAATTACTTCAAAAGGACAAGGATGGAACTATCACGAATCATAATGCATGTACTTTAAAGCGCTCAAGTCCAATCATTATACATGTATCGCTCGGTAATAAAATACCCGTACGTTATGGAAAATAATAATAATGGCATACTAACGTATGCTATTATGGCAGCGCAAACTACATGTACACCCATGCACCCAATTTTTTTTATTGAATGAGCCTAATTTTCTAGTTTTAGGAAATAAAATTTTTTATATTTTTATTTCAATAAATTTTCGGAGTTATCCGTAAAAACGTCGACCAATTATTTACGAAATTTAGTTGCTCACACTTATCTGCGCTATCATCTCTTTGATCTTTTTTTTTGCTCTGTTTAAAAAATCATTTTTGAATAATGCCTAAAAGATCAGAATTTACAGATTTTGAATGTAGTGAAATTGTTGGTCTATGGAAAGGCAAAAAAAAACAATAAGTGAAATCAGAAAAATTATTAAGACACCTAAATTCATATGTGGTAATGTAATAATTCAAGAATCACTTCAACACCATGTTCTGATAGAACTGAAATAATCAACATTCAATAACTTCAAATCATATACATGAACAAATTGATCTATAACTCATAAATGAAAAGAAATCTAGAAATTTTTAAATACACCATTAAATAGAGCAGGTTTTGTTGATTCTAATCATATATTTAAAGTTAATATGTAAATTCTCTCAAAAATATCTATTGAACACAAAAGAAATATAGAAAAAAAATAACGATAACGATAACGATAACGATAATTATAAAATTTGGATAAATTGCGTTCAAATATTGTCGATCATTTTTTAAATGATCTTGTCCGGATTACTTATCATGTATTAGCGTTGGTGCATGTACATGTAGTAACAACGCAATGTTCACCATTAACCATTACGATAATGATTTAAAATCAAACGGAGATTGCTGGTTATAAACAATTTTTTATTTTTATTGTAATTAAATTAACTTTGACAATGACATCAACTTGGAGCGTAATTGAACGTTTTGGTTCATACATGCCAATGGTAGGTAATGTAATCCAATGCCTAAAAGAGGTTAGAGATGATGTAAAACGGGCCGAAAAAAATGACTCAAGATTCAGAAAATTGCGCGCTCAGTTGGGTGGAGCTGTAGAAACGTTTGAAGCTCGTTCTCGTCATGATTCGAACCGTTACCCATTTGGCCAACAAAATACCGAAAATTTGATGTATGCATTGGAAAAAATTCATATATATTTAGAGAAATCCAAAAGATCTTCTTTTCGACAGATTATGAAGGCTAAACAGGTTGATACAATGTTAACAGATCGTTTACGGGTTTTCTTTATTACTGATACACCTTTTTTGATATTTAGCTTACAGCTGAGATTAAGGAATTGGAAGATGAGTTGAATTCGGCTCTAATCGGAATCACAGCCTTTATGGAAGCACAGAGACCTGTTTATAGTACTTATCGCTCTTTTTCCTCAATCAATTCTTCTGATGACAGTAAGGATAGCGGCAATAGTGATGTTGAACAAACTGGAGAAGGTATACATATTGCCGAGTCGTCTATTCAAACGGAAACTTGTGGTTATGTTTTTGTAAAAGGAGACGAATCTTACAAATGCAGGTAATAAAATGACAGCAATTTTTCCGGTCATGCAGGTTCTCAGAGAAAAATATAACGTTTTTTATTATCTTTTAAAACACTGTCTTTATTCATCCTCGTAAAATTTTTTTAGAGATTGTGCCGTTAATGATAACAGTCTGCTTGCGAGCGTTGCTATAATGCTACTTATCAACAGGGGCACCAAGTCCAAGAATTTGTTTGTTCTTACAATAACGGTTCGTTTTATGACCGTGGTCAGCCAGATTCACTTGAAGTGCCAGTCAACTATACCCTCTGATCACATTTATAACAGTGAGGATAATGTCAGTAGTGATGTTCTAGTGATTTCTGAACTAGTTTTCAATAGGTGAGAGAAAACTTTAAAAATCTGTTATTTATATTTATATAACATTTAATTTACATATCTTTTCATTATATTTATTATGATTTCGAAGATGCGAATGTTGTAAATTGTATTTGAGTGGACTTGTTGCTTTTTTATTCTTAGGAATTTTTTATAACTTCACTTCTCGTCACATTTCTGCCTTTCTAGTTCAAGACATTCTTTGATTTCATTTTCTGTTTTTGGATACCCTAAAGAATTCTAGTAGAATAAGGATCCCAACATTTTCCATTAATAAATTTGCACTATCCGGGAACATTATTTGGTATTGTAGGTTGTATTCCTTTATTATAAACGTTTAATACGAGATAATGTTCTTGACTCCGTCACCTGTTGCAATTTCATTCACAATCGATTCCAACACATAAGGAAGCATTCCACAAATTTCTTGTTAAGCAATTTATAGTTCCAAAATGAAATTTCACGATGTACAATCTTTTCTCCGTGAACGATTCTCAAATTATGGATAATATCATATAAATAACTTAATTTTTGATTCCAAGTGTAGTTGAAATTACACCATTTTCTGCATAACATGTATTCGTTTGTAACTGGATTTTTAGTTATTCCATAATCATTAAGAGTCTGATCTAATTTTGAAAAACTTGGTTGTGTAATGATTTTAACACAACTTCAATTTCTCCTCTTCGTTCAAATCAATTTTCTTCATAATCTCATCTGGGCTTGTAATCCAGTGGTCTTGTGATATAAAAAACACGCCTCGCAGTATTCACATGTACTACAATTTGATTTCATCTTTGAGTTCACTTTATAAAATGCGAAATAAACGTGCAGCCCTTTGACCAATCACACATCGTATACGTAAAAAATTCGGTGACCCAGTCCATGACATATCGAGACGCATTAATGATATACATGTACATCTGTTTTGTCTACTTATCGAATTACATATATGAAAGGCAACCTCCTTCCAGAAATTATGAACAACGACAACTGAAAAATTCACAATATAAAAAAACTAATCTTTTTTATATACTATTCTTTTTCTTATCCTGAGCTTTTAATAACATCTGCAGACAACAGTACAATATTATCGCAATTTGGACCGGATGTATTATACGCTTGCGTCTAATTAATATTAATATACTACAGCCTTCGTAGAAATAAAATAAGGAATGGCTGTCGACGATGTTGACAGCAATTGGTTTTTACAATTATCAGATGTTCTCATTACTACATATGATCGACGCTAGACTTTACATTTATAGATTCACAACTCTCACGTTCACACGATACCATTAAAAATGAAGCTTGACTTGTTGTCTTTACACTCAAATAAACTGTCAAAGTTCTATGAGAACACTAAATATTGCGATATTTCAATCGTTGTTGGAGATGCTCGAAATACTGAGCGAACCTTTATGGCACATTCCTCAATACTAATGGCTCAGTCTGAATATTTTGTTGTTGCTCTTTCCGAAGCGTGGGTAAAACGAGAACCTAATAAATTGATCGTCTTCAAGAAACCAAATGTTGAACCACATATTTTTGAAATATTATTAAGGTAATCATTTAAAATAAATATTGTTTGGAGTTATATTCTATTGAAATTAATTTGTATTCGTACTATGGTTATAAGATATATGTATAGTGGCAAAATCGATTTGTCAGAATACGAAATGCTAACACTTTTGGATATATTGGTTGCTGCTGATGAATTGATTTTGGAAGATTTGATTCAATATATTCAAGAATATCTTTTGGAACAACATTTTAAATCCATGGTTGAAAATTTTGCTATGATCGATCAATGTGCTTTTCAACATTCCTTTGTCAAACTCCAAGAATTCTGTTCAGAAATTGTGTGCAAAGATCCTGTTGCAGTTCTTAGATCTGGCGATTTTACAAAAATCCAAGAGAATGTAATCATCTCTTTGCTCGAACAAGATGAATGCTATCTTGAAGAAATTAAAATTTGGGAAAAAGTTCTTGAGTGGGGAATTGCTAAAACATCCGCTTCTGATAACGTCGATTTATCAGTTCCGGTGGAACAATGGTCACAAAACGAATTCAATAAACTCGGTGCCACGCTCAAAAACTGTTTACCATTAATTCGTTTCTTTCATATAGACTCCGTTAATTTCTATAATAAAGTGATGCCATATTCAGAGCTATTATCAAAAGATCTTTACAAAGCTTTAATACATCATTATTCGACACCTGGAAGGAAAGTTCAACAAGCGTTACTTCACCCCATCCGCAACTCAATATCAAGAATTCTTTCTTGTAGCCAAGTTAATAAAATAATGCAATGGATAAGAAAAGAAGATAGCGAAGGAAATTTTTCGTTTATCTTTAATTTATTATTGCGTGGCAGCCGAGACGGGTTTACCGCTAGTGATTTCCACCGATTATGTGATTATAAAGGTCCAACTGTTGTCGCTATTCGTATCAAAGACTCTAACAAAATCATTGGTGGCTACAACCCCATTGAATGGAAATTTCATGAAAGAACTTATTTCAGATCAAAAGACTGCTTTTTATTTAAATTTGATTCTTGCGACATTCTGGGATCAAATGGTGTTTTAAGTAATGGCTATGGTGTATGGAACTATAAAAGCACGGGTCCTTGTTTTGGAAGTGGTTATGATTTGAGTTTGTTTACTTCTTCAGGAAATTATTGTTACAAATCTTCCTTTGAGCATGGTCTTTTAAGCGAACTAAAGGAACAAATATTTTTTGATATTGAGGATTATGAAGTATTTCAAGTAGCTCAAAATTAAATATATTTTAATGCAATTCACAATTTTCAATACTATCACACGTTCGGAACCGGAAAGTGCGTCTTTAAAGAGGTTTGGACAATATAACTGGAAGTGTGACTATATAGAAGAAAGCTTTATTATTTATCACTGTTAATTGTATACAGTACATGTCTGTAGACTTTTCTTTATGAATACGTTTTTATAATAAAAATTGATAAATTTATCTTCTGACATTTTATAAGCATTTCAAGCCAAATTTAAGTTTCTGATAATTTTTTATTTCAAATTTTAATTCTAATATTTTAAAGTATATATATAATCATGTTTTCTCGCTTATTTAAAATCTTATATATCTGAGCTGGAACAAATTTCCTTTTTTTATATGTAGTTTTATAATAAAAAAAGCCATTTGTAAAAAGCTAAAGACTTATGAAATTTTATTGAAGTGGTATAGTTATATTTGGCAATTACCTTTATAGCTTTCTCAATTATAATATAACAATTTATCAGGCAAACATAGAAGTCGCATTACTCATCTTCCATGATTCCAAAATCCTGAACTCAATCTCATTGAGACTTTCTGAGATAAAATGGAATGTCAGATTTCAAATATACGAATTGTTTACTTTTTGAAGAAAGTGTATTCTCATGTATATTCCTATATTTAATACTATTGATCAATGAAAATTATCAATCAAAATTTTTTATAATATATTTAATTTAATATTCAAGAGCATGAAAATAGGCGGGTGCATCTTAAATTGATCTATTGTCTCATGTTGAGACTATCAAAAAAGCTAGAGGAACTATTATACATAAAAATAATTTAGTTTTAAAATTTTCATAAATCATTGATTGCAGAGAAGTGTACGCAGTTATTACCCTTGGTAAAGTAACCCCCCCCCCCCCTTCCGACTGGAAAAATTTTTGAACAGTATCCCGGTATGAAATCCTGACATTCATATACCCGATAAATGAAATCGTATGCCGTTCATTCGGAATTTCGATTATTTGGGATGTCGTGCATTTTGTTAAAAATTGTTTGTTGGAATGCTTGTCAATCTACATTTGTCACTCACTACTGGACTCTTCTTTAGTATTTTACTTATACGGTACCCCCCCAAAAGTACTGTACCCCTTCTATAGTATCCCTCCTCACATAATATTCAAGTTAGTCTGGGATCTCTTGAATAAGACCATAATAATTTTCAATTACAAAAATGGGATAAATAAAAATTAGTTATTAGTCTAAAATCGAGTCCCTTAATAAATAGCTTCGATATTGTTTCACTCGAATTTTGGGAATTTATAGAAAAATAGGAAAAAAAATACATTATCGTTATCGTACGCATCAGTATCTGTATGTTATGATCGACCACATGTAATTTGATAAGCGACATACTTTAAAGATTTAACTATATAAAGAAACTTATGATAACGATAATGTTAAATGTGTATCATCTCGTCTGACAAAGATTAACAACACACTCACATTCTTCTTAAATAATGGCTTCAAAAAAAAAATGCACCGATAATCGAAAAGAAAAAACCGGTCTTATTTTTCCGATCGGACGTATTCATCGCCTTCTTGCTGTAGGTTCTCGACAGCCTTCTTTATTTAACGACAGACTAAAGATTCACGTTCAGGCAAATACTCCTATTTATGTTGCAGCCGTAATTGAATACTTGATAAACGAAATCTTGGTATTGTCTGGGAATCGTGCTCAATCTGAAAAACGATCAAGAATCATTCCCCTTGACATTTTATCAGTTATTCAAAATGATGATGAATTGAAAAATTTATTTTCTTCTCTCTTGCCAAGTCTTGTTCAAGATCTTCTAGAAGAAGACAAGGAAGATGTCGAAGTCGTAGAGTCTGAATCAGAGGGGAACGACACAGCTGATAAGACCATAAAGCTTGAATCTTTGGTGCTCTCAGAGGGAAACAACATAGCCGCTGACGAAACCAGAAAGCTTGAATATTTAGTGCTCTCAGAGGGAAACAACATAGCTGCTGACGAAACCAGAAAGCTTGAATCTTTAGTTGGAATGAAGAACGAAGGTATTTCAGGAATAAATTCTCATTTATCCTAATTAATTTTATCATGTTACAATATATTTATTTTTATCTTCTTTCTTGTGATTATGTACGTGCAGTTGAGAGTTAACATGGGATTAAATGAATTCACGTAATTGCTATACCGAGATTACAACAAAATACAACTACTCCAACTCAATGATCATCATATCAAATTTCTGTATACATGTATTCAATTGAAAATATCGCAGAAATTATTAATAGATTACCCATTTCTAGTGTAAATAAATGTGAATAAACCAAATACGTCAATTGTTACAAAAGCCCATAAGGAATTTATAGGTTCTTGAGAAGGCACAAGAGCATACATGTATTTTGAAAAAGCTTCTGTAATGCAGTTCCGCACCAAATTCTACTGAATGAGTGCATATTTGACTAAAACTCGGCATATCTTAGACGTGTCACTGTGCGTAACAGAAAGTGACTCGTAAGTTAAAATTGAGAATTATGTCATAGTCAATAAATTGGAAAAACGAATTTTATATTTACCTAATATAGTTATCGTGAAAAACCATCAAATGTTAGATGCATTTTGCACATAAAGAAACGACGTTTTCGGCATAACAGAGACTCTTAAATAAAGTCATATGCAATATCAACATGAGCCCTCGTATTCATCTTTAAAATTTTTTACGTTCTTTCAATAATACTGTAATTCGAAGTTTTCCCAGCTATTTCTTAATTTTGCGCTGAATAATTCATTGCTTAGAAGTGAAAATTCATTCTTTTTTCGTTGAATTTCAATTACAATGTATTTTGCAAGGAATATCGGTATTGTTTTCGACGTACAGCACATATGTGCGTATGCTGCTCAGCTAAAACAATTCCATTAGGCAAAATGTGTTGGTATGCGCATTTTCAAGGTTCCGAGATTTCGCTATGCTCAAATCATCGTTACGAGATTACATACATGTACATGCATGTAATTTAAATTGAATTTTCACCAGCCATTTTTAGAATCGGTAAACTCTATACATTCCAAGGGCTTCTCATCTCAGCAAACACAGCGACCCAAAATTAGATGAGCCATTTATGTATACCGTACTTATTCCTTTCTTTACTTAAAACTGGTCATTATACTAACCTAATTTAAAAATATAATGTCATTGATCGAGAATTTATGGATATTTTTAATTAACTAAAAGCTGTGACATTTGAGATGTACATGATTTCAGGGATCTTAAAGTCGATTGGTATATTCTTCAGCCATTTTTTATCAATATTAATATCAAAAAAAAAACGAGTATTTAGCTAGATATGTAACTACAGTACCGGTCATGCACTGTATTCTCACGGTATTATGCCAAAAGCGTGATAGACTTTTAAATACATGCATTTGTTTGATGTAAAATTTGGTTAACAACTGGGAAATTATTATCACGAATGTAAATTTATATGCGGCAGTTAATTCACATACCGCCACGGAAAGTTTAGTTTATTAATCATCGAGCTAATTAATAATGACCAAATTTTAAATGGCATAGTAAAGAAATTCATTTGTATAAGAATTTGATAATGTACCGACTATTGTTACCAATAAATGCAAAACGATAATTCTAACTTCATAAAGTTAACGTCAAATGAGATTCTGACGTACAATGTAAATGAGTAAATAATTGTCTGATCCCATGATAACGAAATAATTGTGATTCAACACTATACTTAGAATGCACCTTTATTTTGATGTTGTGCAATCCGTTACCGTTACAGCAGCAGTTATGTAATTATTTAAGGGAGTCGGTAACTATTGATTAATTTTTTTGGTTATTGACAATGGGAACGGTTAAATCAACGTTACAGAAACAATCACAAAAAAGAAATTCTAAAATAATCAAGAAAACCAAAAATGAGACTGAACATCACGAAGATCCGGTGTCTCAAGAGAATATGCTTGCACCAGTAGTGTCACCACCAGATCTCGCAACAATTCGTAGTAAACCTTTAATCCACGAAGAATGGGAACTTTGCAGACAATCATCAACAATACCCGAGATACTCGAATCTCTTCTTAACATAGTAAATCACTTGAACATTTATTTTGGGACTGATAAATTATTGGTCAGAGAAATCACCAAATGGATACACAAGCATGACGACAACATTGAACCACGGAAACTAATAGAATTTCTCAAGATTGAAGTATCAAAAGAAGAGAAACCAAAATACATTTCGTTGCTGGCGTTCTTTTATTTTTTGGGTATTGGAACAGCCGTTAATCATAATGAGTCGAAGCGATTATATGATATTGCAGCGGGAATGGGTGATGGTGTTGCACAGTGTCAGTTAGGAACTTTTTTTTATTTCGGAATTGATTGTAAAGTTGATTATGATCTAGCGTTTCAGTTTTTCATGAAATGTGCAAATCAGGGTATTTCGACTGGCCAAACGTAAGTTCTCTTTTAGTTATGCTGTAACCTTTTTGATATCAACGATTCAATTTAACGAATTGTGTTATTAATAATAATAATAGGTGGGTAGGAAATTGTTATGAGCATGGTAAATTTCAATAAACACATCGCTCTCACTATAATGTCATCACACTATAACGACATTTGTTTTGGAATCTTTTATTGCGTCGTCGTTATATAGAAGACCAATAGTGATATGTGTTTTTATATTAAAGATGTGAGTTTTTTGCTTGAATAAAGCATTTATTTTTTCTTTCTCGATTATAAAGGAAAAGGAATCGAAAAAGACTTGGAAGAAGCGTTTTATTGGTACTCATTATCTGCAAAATGTAATGACGCATCTGGCCTTTACAAACTCGGATACTGCCACGAAAAAGGCATCGGCACTCCAAAAAATTCATCGTTAGCCGCCGAATGCTATCTACAGTCAGCAACGCGTGGAAACGCAACGGGTCAATACAAACGGGGTCAGTGTCTTTTGAAAGCAATTGGTGTACAAAAAAACATTCACGAAGCGCTGTTATGGTTTCATCAAGCCGCGCGACAAGGAAGCCTTAGTGCGATGAATCAGTTGGGATGTTTGTATATGAGCGGAGTAGAGGCGGAGGGAATACGCAAAGATGTGCGAGTTGGGTTTTCATGGTATTTGAAGGCAGTTAAAGAAGATGATGGTGTTGGTAGACGAGATTCGACGGCACAATTCAACATTGCGGTTTGTTATCAGAGTGGTGGGATGGGAGTAAGTAAAGATTTGCATGAGAGTTTGAGGTGGTATCGGGAGTCAATAAGAAGTGGGAATAAGACTGCGAAGAAAGTGATCAAGTCAATTTTTTGTAATTGAATTGAATTATTAAAATGTATTTTTAATTATAGCGATAGATTGACATATTAATTTTTTTTATATAGTATAATTTAATAATTGCCGATGATGCAATTTATGATAAACAAATATGCACCTTATAACGAGTCACAAAAACATTGATGTAACAAATGAATTCCGACGTGGAAAAAATTGTCTTTGAAATCTGCAACTTCAGGTTTCTGTAACAATTTATTTTTAGCTTTTAGACTTTCCTAGAACTAAAAATCTTTCTACAGTGAATGAAGGGATAAAAAATCATTCTATAGTGAAAGGATTTCTTATTATACAAATTTCGTTTTTTTTCAATTTCTCAAGAGCAATTTTAAATACAAATTTTCTAATGATCGAAGTAACTACATGTATCACAAATAACTTGTTTAATTCTATGCGCCAAAAAAAAATTGTCCCCTAAATGTATCACGTTATGAGTGCCTATTTTTACATGTACATGTACTATATACATTACCGCTTATATATTCGTTAGGTCACTTCAAAGAAGTAAATGAATGGTGCCAAAGGTACACAATGTAAAGATTTGCCAAATGGAAATTCTCTTGTATAAAATAGTTCATATATATACATATTATTATTATTATTTTTTATTTGTATTTATGATCCGTATAAAAGTCTCAAAATTTTTTACGAACTTTCAATTCTTTACTTTTTACCTTACAACGATCATCTAAGCGTATAAGAGTTTCTTCAGTATCATATTCTTTCAATTCTTTACTATTAACGTAACAACGATTATATAGAGTTTCTTAATCATTTCAAATATCATATAGTTTATTCAAATGACCACCACACAATACCTCGGTGCACCATTTTTCATTAATCCACTTTCAGATGAAACAGACACTGATAACGAGTCAAATTCACAAAATGACATGACTATAAGTATAATATCAAATGACAATATTAATGCGAGTCAGGAAGCATTACAAACAACGCGAATAGTTGCACGAGGACTGTACGGGATAAACGAAAAGCGCCAGGTTGATTCACAAGAGACGATAGTTGCAATACCGGATTCGCGTGATTCAGTTAATACTTTTTATTAACACTTCGTAATATTTTCATGGTTGATTTAAGTTGAAATGTTTTTTATTTTGTTAGGGTCAGAATCAGACATCAGAATCCTCGGCTACTTCAGAATCTACTTCAGTAACAAGATATTTATTGTTAGTTATTTTTATGTTGTCGGCAGTAATCGTATCTGGTAAGATTACTAAAAACAGTCTTTTTTGTATTAATATACAGTATATTCTTATCCTTGAGATTAACTAGTATCTGTTTAGGGATAGCCATTGTTCTTGTCATGAAGCTTTTGAATCCAGACTTCTTGACTTAGTGATATTAAAAAAAAAGTATTTTATTGTACAATGTAAGATTTATGTATAATTAATATTATTGTTTGTAATTATCGTTGTAATATGTATAATTAATATTATTGTTTGTAATTATCGCTGTAATATCTGTAATAAGAATAAATTAAGTACGTTAGCAAAAAATTTGGCATGAATTTTTTTTTTGCTAACGACAAGAAAAAAAGGCAGAAAAAGTACTCGGTTAAACTTTATCCGAAAATATTAGAATGTACGGTATATACTAGCGTTAAAGGTAATAAATGGCACGCGAAATGTACTTGTCAATATAACTTGGAAAAACTTTCACCCAATTATACGTAATAAGAGAATTAATCCCTTTGTCATACTGCACATGTATGCAATCATGTATTAAATTTTCACTTCTTGGCATATTGCAATATGCAAACATGCCAATTATAGCCACATGCTTCTAGCTCCATCTTCTTTAATGCGTAGTTTCTTTAAATATATTTTCTTGGTTTGATCCTGTATTGAAACTTGTATGCATGTACTTCTCATATAACCGCTAAATAAATAAAGTCCCAGCGAAAATCATGGCGATGTGAGAGGCATTTCTTGTTCGTTGTAGCACTAGATATTTGAATGATTGCTCAAAGTGATCTGAACAATGCTATTTAAAAAAAAATTACTTTGAATTTCATCAGTATTTTCTCCTAAAAGTCTAGAGAAGTGTAACTTCGATAAATGAAAGATATAAATCTCCATTATGAACTTTTCAAATCATTCAATATTCTATCTGCTTAAAAACTTTTTACAAATTTTTCAACAATTGTCCACTTATAATATGATGTTTTTACATTATATAATTGTTAAAAAAATATAATTATCCATCAGTCTCAAAACTTTATAATAATCAATAAAAATTGAAATTATATTATTATTATTAAAGTATTTATTTTTATATTTTATATTTTTATATTAAGAAAAAAATAATAATCTAAAAAAATAGTTTATAATCCCTAATTAAAAAAAAAAATTTCAAACAATAAATTATTTTCTTATTTTATTTTATACAAATTAAAAATAAAAATTTTATATAAAAATTTTAAATAAATTAGAAACTCTTAAATATTTTTTTTATAGTGATATATATTATTTAAAATATAATTTTCATATAATATTAAATAAAAATTAATTAATTTTCTTTTTCTTTATATATAAATTTTAAGATAAGATATTGTTTTTGAATTTCTTTTAAAAGTATAATTTAAATAATATATACTTAATTTTCTAAAATTCTTTTATACTTCAAATTAATATTAATAACTAGAAATATTATCAATTTACTTATCTGATTGAAATTACTAAAAATTAATATAATTATTTTTTTAATTTATCAATAGTACAAAATTTAAAATAAATTACTTATAATAAAAAATATAATTATTTTAATAAAAAATAAGTATTTTTATTTAAATTACTAATTCAAATCATAATTAATTCATATATTTTTATATACAAACTTATTTTTTTATAATAATTAATTTTTTTAAATAAAATTATATTATTAAATATTAAAAGTTATTTTAATATATTTATTTAATTATATATATAATAGCTCTTATAATTATAGAATTAAAAGATCAATTTTATTAATAAAATATAATAAAAATTAAAATTTTCTCTCTATCTTAAACATTATAATTTTATTAAGAAATAATTTTTATTTTATATCAAAATAAAGTTTATATATTCTATTTTAATATATATATTTCTCAGAGTTTTTAGATTTTTTCTAAAAAAAATATTCCAATTATAAAATTAATAAAAAATATTTACTAATTAAGAATAAACTTTAATTAATAAAACTTTTTGTATTTAACTTTATAATTAGAATTTTTTAAAAAAAATCTAAAAAATCTGAGAAAAATATATATTAAATTATAATTTATAAGTTTTATTTTAATATAAAAAAAATTATTTCTTGATAAATTATAAAGTTTAATATAGAAAGAAAATATTAATATTTATTTTATCTTTTTAATAAAATTAATCTCTTGATTTCATAATTATAAAAGCTATTATATTTTATTATAATAATATTTTTTAAGTTATAATTTATAAATTTTTAATATAATAAATAATAAATAATTTAAATATTAAAATTAAAGACTTAATTATATTTATAGATATTTAATAATTCTAGATAGCTTATATTATATTAATTAAATTTTTTTAATTACTAAATTTTAAAAAATATATCTAATTAATTAAAATTATAATTTCAAATACAAAAATTATAATTTTTAATTTAGTAATTACTATAAAATTAAGAAAAACTTATTTATTATATTTATAAATAAATTTGAATTTTATTTTTGATTAAAATACTTTTATAATTTGTAAATATAATTATTTAATAATCATAAATATTATATATTAGTTTTAATAATTAATAATTTTTAGATTTTTAAATTTAATTTATAAATTTAACTTATTTTCTTAATAAATATTAATTATAATTTTAAATTATATTTTTATTTTATTTTAAATTATCTTATATTTTATTTTATATTTTAAAAAAATATTATTTATTATTTAATAAATTATTTTTTATTTTTAATAAAATTTATTTTATATAAAATTTAAATAATTTCAAATTTAATTTTTATTTTTATTATAATTAAAATTTTATAATATTTTATATTTTTTAATTTAATTTAAAAATTCTTTATTTTTTAATATAATTAAAATAATTATAATAATAATTATAATTAATATAATACTTATTAATAAATTATAATTAATAAAAAATATATATTTCTTCTTATATATAAAATTTTTAATTTTATTTATATATTTTATTTTTAACTCAAAAAATAATTAATATTTTTTAGTTTAATATATATTTTTTTAAATTTTATTAAAAATTTATTTATATTATATATAAAGTTAATTAATTTTTATTAATTAATAATAAAAATTAATTATTTTTAAATATATATATAAACTAGTTTCTAATAAAAAAATTTAAAAGATTATAACCTTCTAGTTACGTAATATAATATATCTAAATAATTCACAAAGAAGAATCAGATATAGTATTATATCAGGAAAATTCACACAGAAGATTCAAGATATAAGCAAAGATATTTGAAATAGAATTCACACAGAAAACTAAATCAAAAGCAGACAAGAGATTATGTTTAAAACTTATTCTTTA